GTTAAAACAGCACAAAGTAAACAAAACACAAGAGATGGGATAAAATATTCTAAGGAACGTCTGTGCTTTGTGTGTGTAGAATGCACTGGTGTTACCATTTAATGAACCCTATGGCGTGATAGGCAGTGTGCTGGGTGCTTTATACCCATTACTTTGCTTAAACCTTTGAGAAATTTCAAGAGATGGTATTATCATCACCATTCTGCATATGAATAGTTTAAAAAAAAAAACAAACCTGAAGATTGAAATTTGCTCGAGACACATAAATAAGCAGAATTGGGATTCATACATAGGACCAAGATTCCATGCCTCCCCGCTATAACAAAGAGCCTCCAAACATAGAGAAACTACACGATTTCTAATGTTCTTCCTGAAACCTTCATAAATGGTTCTGAGTTTTCATTCTCCTTGAGCTTTTTAGTAAATAGGATAGTGGGATGCATTCAAAATGGTCATCATTTTTCGGTAGTTTCTCTGGAGTTCTCAAATGTACTCCACTTTAAGAAGAGTTACTACGTTCAGAAACAACTTCACTGCAAATAGGATATAAAGATTCTGAAAGGAATTCCCACTACCATTGGAGTCCATGTGTGCACAACAATAGCAACACATTCTGACCTGCTTGGTGAGTTCCTAAATATGCTCCAAAAGGAAACATCTATGAGAACATACAGTCCTCAAAGAGGGAATTTCTCTTGAGGAAGAGGAGGAAAATTGTGTCTTTAAGATGAAGGTTAAAGGAGAAGTAGATGGACCCCCAATAATCTAAATACTGAGAAATGGTAGAGAGGCCTCAGGTGGGAGGAATAATGGCAGAAAAGTCATCCCCATCTCACTTGGCCTGAAGCAAGGGGAAAAGGGGGGAATCATTGACCTACAGGAACGTAAGAAGTTTACCCCCAGAACTCTTTATATGATAGCCCCAACAGCCAGAGTACAATTCAGGAGATATAAGTGATGATCAGAGATGGAAAATGTTTAGACTTCACGTCTAGGGAAAATATTCTGTAATGTGGTCAGTTGCCACATAAGATAGTTTGGATGCTCCTGGATGTTTTGGACAGAAGGAATGTGGAGGAGGTGGGGGTCTCAAGAGTAAACTGAGAAGTTCAAGATAGAGAATATGAAGGTTTTGCACATTCCTTAAGTTGTACTCAGTGGGTGAGTCCTGGGAAACACATGAAACGCTGTCATCATTATAAAAACTTTGAAACAAGAGTTCTCAGTTGACTAGATCTTTCCTACAAAGATAACAGCTTTAATATTATTACTTTCTAGTAAGAAAATATTCAGGGTGTTGCATTACTTACGTACACGGCAAATTCATAGACTGTGTTTCTATGACCTCTTGAACTCAGTTAAGTTCCAGAAATAAGTATTTCCAAATTTTTATACCTTCATTTTTCAAAAAGTGATTAATACTTTCAATATCCAAGAGATTAATCTCCACAAACAGCTTTTCCAACAACTGGAAAAAGTTCATCATCACTATTATACTTCAAAAGGGATACCAAAGAGAAATATGCCACCCTCCTGTGTGTCAGTTCTGATAGACAAGTCCTACCCTTGATATTACTGTGAGGTAGGTGTGAGCAGTCTAGAATAGTCACTGTTCTATTAACTAAGAATGGGTTAAATACAGTAAGGTACCACCTACATTAATGAGAAAACAAAGTCTGAAGGGAGTATCATTGTCAAGATAAACAAAGGTATTAGCAGGGAAGAATATTACATCTGAAAAGAGTTTCAGAATAACATTTTTCAAGTAGTTATAATATACCAGGTGCTGTGCTGTTTTTCATAGTAAAATTTGTATTATTAAATATTGTGATTTTAAAGAATAAGAGATGCCAATGTATAAACCCCAGAAATTAAAGAGGTGTTAACAATTTGTCAGTTTTTGCTTAAGATCTTTGTCTCTTTTAAAGAAATAAAACAATACAAATTCCACTAAAGTCCTCTCCCCAGTCCCTTCTCCTTCCTTTTCTCCTCAGGACAAAGATTATCCTTTTTGTGCATCACTCCATTCATATTTTTGCTCTTTTTCATTATACCTGTATCTGGTGGTGCAGTGTTTAAGGTATCTGACTGCTAACCAGATGGTTGGCAATTCAAACCCAGCAGCTGCTCGGCCAAAGGAAGATGCCAAGATTTACCACTTGGCAACCCAACAGGGGTCGCTATAACTCAGAATCAAGTTGATGGCAATGGGTTTTTTTTTTCCATTCTTACACTATTTGCTTTTTTCATCAAACAAGTATTTTGATAGTTACCTATATTGATGTATGTTCATCTGCTTGATTCACATTAGATTGCACATAGATTTTCATTTTATGCATAAACTTCTGCTGGTCCACTTCAGGAAGGTTGTTTCTACTTTTTTTGACAAAAGTGTTGTAATGACCCATCTCACGACTTATCTCCTTATGTGTATGTGCAAGTTCCTCTAAGTCCTTTTCTTTAAGTGGAATTTCTGAGTCATAAAGTATGCACTGTCCAACTTTACTAGGCAATGCCAAAAGTAGTTCCGAAGTGGTTTTATCAATTTATATATCTATCAGAATGGTATGAGTTCTTTTGCCCATTTTTTTCTTGGTGCCTTTTTTAATTTCTAAGTATTTTTTGAAGTTATTTCAATGCATATATATCCTTCCAATCTATCATTTGCCATTTCATTTAGTAATGTCTTTTATCATTAAAAATTTTTAATAATGCAGAAATTGTCAATCAATGGTTTCCTTCTAGGTTTTGTCTTAAAAGGACCTCTACCCCAATGTTATGTTTCTTCTTTTTTCTTCTAAGTGTTTAAGATTTTTCTTTTCATACTTACATCTTCAATCAATCTAGAATGTATTTGTTAATGTACTGTGAGGGAAAGCTCTCATTTTATCTTTTTGTAAAAAGCAGCCATTTTTAAAAGTCCATCCTTTCATCAACGAATTTTAAAACTACCTTTGTCATAATCATGTTTTCAGATACAATTGGTCTGCTGAGTATCACACAGCTTAAATTACTAGAATTTCATAGCAAGTCTTGTTATCTGGTAGAGTGAGTCCTTCCTAAATAGTGTATCAAAACTAGTTTGGCTCTTCTTGCTCTTTATTCCATCATACAAGTTTTATGATTAGCTAAATCTCCCATTAATGTCTTTTTTACCTGTTTCGTAACTTGTTGGTGAAAATGCTACTTTTGTTTTGTGGCTGGATGACCAAATCTGTTATTTAGTACCCCATCATTTATCAGCACAAATAAATGGTATTGCAAGAGAGGAGTTCTGGGAGGGGGGCAAAAAAAACCTGTGATTAATTTGAAGCTGTACTGATTTCCAAAATTAATTTCCTGAGATTAAGAGTAATTGGGAGTTTCCTAACCATGAACATATAAATATCCGTTTATTTCTTCGTGTCCTTCAATATATACTTTTTTTCCCCCACAAGTCTTATACATTTTTCACTACAGTAGTTCTTGGATCTTTTTTTTTTTTAAGCTATTTCTTGTATTTCATTTTCTGGCTCACTAACGGAGCCACACCTTTCATTTTATTTTGTTGAAAAAACATGTTTTTAAAAGTTGTGTGTGTCAAGAGTGTTGCATTTGGTGCATTTTTGTTGTCAAGATGTTCATCTGTTTCTTCCAGCAATTCTATTACCCTGAACATGGGTCCTATTATTTAACCTGATCCTTCATTCTCTGGTTGTAGTCCCTTCATTGCAGCTATTTTTCTCTCAGATAACTGAGAGTCCAAGAGGTGGAGATAATGAATATGAAGAGATTTCATAGATAAACAGAAAAATTACTTCTTACCCTGAGCTTGGAGTAAAAAAAGATGGTTACAGTTCTCCTGAGACACCTTGGAAGAAGCCTCTCTGATGTTTCTTTGCTCTGGCCTTTCTGCTCACCTTGAGTAAGAAACACTCAACCCCATTCCCTTGCCTTTTGTGGACAGCCCCCTCAAACAAGGTTGAAATCCTCAGGTGTTAAAAGGCAAGCTTTTTCAGGGATTCTCTAACCTCTGACCCTTGCTCCCAGGGCTCTGTTGTGCTATTCATATTTGATTCCTCCACCCTAGAAGAAGAACCCCAATTCTTTTCACAGGAATCAATGCTTGGCTCAAGAGCAAGTAGCTTGGAGTTAGGAGTCATCATGGTCCAAAAATCCACCATTAGCATATTTTTTATTTGTCTCTTAGTAATGTGTTGGTGGTGAAAATGAACGCTATCAACTGATTACTTTCTGGGCTTTTTGGCAGCTTTGTGGTTGGCCAAATTTTCAATTTAGTATTCCAGAGTTGTTCAACACATAAAAACAGTTTTATTGGGGGGAAAGGGGGAAGCAGGAAATTTTGCAGATTCTCCAAAATAAAAAAAAAAAGGTAAAATAAAAATATGGCAAGCATTATCTGTTTGCTCTTTAACTGAGTAAACAGACCTTTCTTTACATATAAGCATTTTATCTAAGTGTTTTTTGTTTTCGTTGGTTGTTTGGCTTTTAATACTGGGAACAGTGACATTCAGTTTCAACAAAGAAGGAGGTACCTTGGAATCTTAAGATTACCATACACCAATCCCCCTTAATATCCCCCTCAAAACTCTAGTTCGTTTGAATGGGGAGACTGATCCAACTTTTCATTTTAGGTGAGTAGATGTCTGTGAAAGATGTTGGAACCGCTTGCCACCTTTATCAACAAAATTTCGAGAAAGGAAGAAGCCTTTAGGAAAATTTCTACTTGGAAACATAACACCACTAGCACACGAGTTCAAATCTGATACTTTTTAACATGAGCTTGTTGAAAGAAACGTTAACAACTCCAAAACGAAATTAAACGTGTTTTAACTTTTTCCTCTCGAAAGCATAAAAATTATAGAGAAACTTAACAAGAAATTCTTACAAAGTGAAAACAACTCTTCTTCGTATTAGTCCTTGGGTAGTTAAGATAGAACAGGTTCTTCTTCTAGCTAGATATTTTGAATAAGCATTTTGGTCCCAAGTCTGTTTCATATTTAGTATCTGCTCCGGCCTCCCCCTCTCTCCAGGCGACTTCCAAAGCGGCCTCCGCCCCCAGGTGCCCTACGGCCTGACCTGCTGTAAGAATCACGCGGGGGAGGGCACCCTCTTTCCATAGACGTGGGGAGCCCGCGATCAGGCCTTCCTACTCGTTCGCGGCCTCTGGAATAGCGATCACTGCGGCCACTGGTATAACTGTCGCGGCCGCTGCCGTAAGCGTCGGGGGAACAGCCTCGATACTCGTCGTAGCGATCGCCTCCACCATAAGATGGCGGCGCGCCCCGCACGGGGGCAGCGCTGCGCGGGTCGCCGTAGCTCTCGAAGACTTCTCGGTAGGTGCCTCCACTCAGATGATCTGCGTAGTCACGGTCGCGACCCCCGTAGCCGTCTCGGTCACCGTAGCCTCTCGAGGAACAGTCGTCCCGGGCACTGGAGTGGCCGTAATCGCGGTAGGTGTATTCTCTCGGGGAGGCCGCAAAATCCCTGGGGTCGCGGGCGCTCGAGTAGTCTCGGTTGGAGTAGTTATCTCTAGGAGAGTAGCCCTCCTCCCGGGGG